TCTATTTTCTATATTCTTTTCTCATCTAGTCTACTCTACTCTAGCCCTCTGTTCTGTTCGACTCTGTTCTGTTGTTCTGTGCTGTGCTGTTCTCTATTTTCCATATTCTTTTCTTGTCAAGTCTATGCTAGTCATGTTTTGTACTCTATTCTACTCTGTTCTGTTGTTCTGTGCTGTGCTGTTCTCTATTTCTATATTCTTTTCTCGTCTAGTCTACTCTAGTCCTCTGTTCTGTTCTACTCTGTTCTGTGCTGTGCTGTTCTTTATTTTCTATATTCTTTTCTTATCAAGTCTACGCTAGTCATGTTTTGTTCTGTTGTACTCTATTCTACTATGTTCTGTTCTGTGCTGTTCTCTATTTTCCATATTCTTTTCTTATCAAGTCTACGCTAGTCATGTTTTGTTCTGTTGTACTCTATTCTATTCTATTCTGTTCTGTTGTTCTGTGCTGTGCTGTTCTCTATTTCTATATTCTTTTCTCGTCTAGTCTACTCTAGTCCTCTGTTCTGTTCTACTCTGTTCTGTGCTGTGCTGTTCTTTATTTTCCATATTCTTTTCTTATCAAGTCTACGCTAGTCATGTTTTGTTCTGTTGTACTCTATTCTACTATGTTCTGTTCTGTGCTGTTCTCTATTTTCCATATTCTTTTCTTATCAAGTCTACGCTAGTCATGTTTTGTTCTGTTGTACTCTATTCTATTCTATTCTGTTCTGTTGTTCTGTGCTGTGCTGTTCTCTATTTTCTATATTCTTTTCTCGTCTAGTCTACTCTAGTCGTCTGTTCTGTTCTGTTCTACTCTGTTCTGTTCTTCTGTGCTGTTCTGTTCTCTACTTTCCATATGCTTTTCTCATCAAGTCTACTCTAGTCTTCTGTTCTGTTCTACTCTACTCTGTTCTGTTGTTCTGTGCTGTTCTGTTCTCTGTTTTCTATATTCTTTTCTCGTCTACTCTACTCTACAACAGTTTAGTTAAAAAGGGAATGTTAATGCTGTTTATCAACCTTAATGGGAGAGGTGGTATTCAGAACGGTTCGCCCGAACTGGTAGCGGAAATCGCGTGTGGCCTCGCCCACCCGCCCTGGCTCTATGGCATCCCATTTAGGCCCTTTTTTCAGCAAAAGCGCATGCGCGGAAGGTTGAGCGCGTGCACGGAGGTGGCGTGTGCTCACATTTGTGAACCGGTAGGGAAGGTAAGTGAATACCACTCCTGCTTAATGGCATATATAAATAAGAGCTCACATATTCCAATAGAAGAGAATACATTGTAGCTCAGGGTTGAATTGTTGGGATCCTTGATGATCTGAGCGTGGCTGTTTGCTTGTAGATGTTTCATTAACCAACTAGGTAACATCATTAGCGCTAGGAGGGAGCGGACTTTGTGGAGTGGAAGAGAAGGAGAAAGGGACTGGACTGTCTCTTTTATTAGTACTCTAATCAAATCTGGTTCTGGTTCTTCCCCACCCCCCTAACATAATTCAGAATAGAATGGTGTTTACTTGAAAGGACATGTAGCCATTGGTCCAGAAGGGCATAGGGTCTCCCATTTGAGCGGGGGGCTGGACTAGAAGATCTCCAAGGTCCCTTACGACTCTGTTATCCTGTGTAACTCTACCCCTAGCCCCGCGTGAAACTGTCAAGTCGTCTTTTGAGCTCAAGAGCACAGATCGGGAGCCGAGCGGGATTCACCTGAGCGAAGTCGGCCGCCAGCCTCATCTTCCCTCCTTCGCCGAGAGGCCGGAGGAGGCTGGCGTTACGGATGAAGACCTCAATGGCCCTCTGAGCGATGCCTTCGGTCCTCTCGTAGACAAAATCGTAGCATTCAAAGTGCCTGAAATAGTCGTTCATCACCCTGGAGATGAACCCCTGTAACTCCTTCATGTACAGAGAGCAAGGGACGTCCGGCTTTCCCGAAGGAGGCAGGGATCTACCCGAACAAATGGAAACAGAGGAAAAGGTTCACGTTGATGACCCGGAGCATGGCATAGCACAGGCAGCTGGCAGTTCAAACCAACCCTTTATTATTGCCAAACGCTCCTACATTTCTGGCAAGTCCCAGAGCAAAGTGATCTCTCCCTCCCTCCCACTCTCTCTCTCCCTCCGTCTCTTTCTCTCTCTCAAACTCTCTCAATCTCTTTCTCTCTCAATCTCTCTCTTTCTGTCTCTCAGTGTCTCTCCGTCTCTCTGTGTCTCTCTCTCTGTCTATCTCTTTCTCTGTCTCCTTCTCTTTCTCAATCTCTCTCTGTTTCTGTCTGTCTATCTGTTTCTCTCTCTCTCTCTCTCTCTCTCTCTCTCTCTCTCTCTCTCACACACACACACACACACACACACACACACACCTCTGCAAATAGTCCAGCCCACTGCTGTGA